AAGGTCATAGTTGTGATCAGCAGTTAGAGTTACTCTACAGAGGGTCTATCTGAAGGCCTTCAGTAGGTGCCTAGCATTGTCATCTTGGTAGCCACATAACTTCTAAGTCTGGAGAAGACAAAGCCAAAGAAAAATTTAAGAGTGCATAGGCTAAATTATAAGGTCAGCAGGATTGCTATGAATATAGCCCACAAAGACGATAAAAGAGAAGGTCCAGGGGACTTCAGAATCCAACATAGAAGTCATACTGTTTAGTTTAGCAGTTATGAACTGTTTCCAAGGTTGATCTGGTGGATCCCAGTAAAAGAAATCTAGCACAATTGTCATTGGTTCCATTTGTATGACTGCTTAGAGTTTGGCAGCCAAGGATGTAGGATCGTGTTGGGAAGGTTCCTTTATGTCCTGGATCTTATAAACCTTGAGGGACCAGGGCTAAAGTATTGGCTGTTAGCATTCTAGTTTTGGTCTCCAAACATTGTGGAAGCTTTGTCTTGAAATCCAGCAGCCACAGAGGAGGATAGTACCTTGATTTAGATACTCTGACCAATAATCTTGGTGAAAGACCTCCAAAATGATATAGGGGGAAGAGATGTAACTCCCAAACCTGCTAGATATCTGAAAAGTGAGTTTGTGTTCTCTAAAATCGACGAATGAATTCTAGGAACAATGGAGGTTAAGAGTAGGAAAAACTTATTGAGGGAAAGAAAGCTGCTGTCTAAGAGAGACAGAAGGGGAACCAGAAAGTGGGTTGTCCTACATGTAGTTTTAGATAGTTATAAGGGCAGACTATCTATTTGTGAATCTAGATTTAAAGGATACACTAGTAGAGCCTATCTATGCTGTTCTGTTTCTTCATTTAGACATATTCTTCTCAACACTAATAAAACTATATGTATGGAAAATCTTTTCTTAAATTGAATAAAAAAAAGCTGCTACCTGCCACTGTTCTTTGTAGCATATGCCAGTGATGCACAGAATGTAGATTGCTGATCTGGGAGTCCCTAGAACTCCCTTTGGAGATATTCAAGGTCAAAACTATTATTGCCTTTAAAAGAGACATGTAGAAATAAGTGTTGCATCACAAATGCAAAAGAAATACTGAATAAATTTTCCATAAATCAAGAAGTAGAGTTAGTATAGTAGACCTTTCACTTACAAACTTGATTGGTTCTCTCAGGCTGGTTGTAATTCAAGTTGGCTGTAAGTCAGTACAGCTGAGATCTGGATGTTTACCTGGATACCCAAGATAAATAACAAGAAGGAGATGAATCTTTCATTAACTTAAATGACCCAAATAGTTTGTATGTCATATGCCAGGCTTGTTGTAACTTGAGGGTTCACTGTATTGTTAATATTTGTATTTTTCAGCACCATGCACTTACAGGAAGAAAATAATGATAGTAAATTTATATTGAGATTTTCCTTGATGAGGCATTTAAAATAATCACAAGCAGTTCAATCCCTGGTACATAAAAAAATCCCTGATATTAAATTTTAACCTTTGATTATACACTTTGCAACATTCCACAAAGACTAAATGTGAAGTATACATAAAAACCTTTTGTCATTTACCAAAGTTCAGGGGCTATCTCAGAGAGAAAGACTTACGAAGTTGTTTGAGGTGGGAGTTTAAATAGCTGCTTGCTGGTGGAACACCATTTTTATTGGAAAAAATGTTTGAAAAACTAGCTATGCTTATTGAGGCTAAAGTATGTCATAGACATTTTCTTGAAGACAAACTGAGTCTGTCTTCAAGGAAAACAAGAGCAAATGGCAGTATTTATTGCCAATATCTTAATTTAACCTTTCAAACAATTTAGAATTTTAGAAAACATATATCTTCCCTTATGAGCTTCAATAATTTTTACTTCTAGAGATTCTTCTGATGAGATTGGAGGCAATATTAACAAATATTGTTTTTCTGAAATATATTAACAATAGAAAGGACTACATAACTTCCAGAAGCATTGTTTTCCAAATGACTATTGGTCATGTTATAAAATTGTGCCTAAGTTAAAGATTCTTTTAAAGTGTAAGAAAATATGATGTATTTAAATCTAATAGTAAAGTTTTATTATATTGGACAATATATAATATTGAAAATTTATTTGATTTAAATATTAAAGTACTTAGCCTCGTTTAATATGGTTCAAAAAGTTCATTGAAGGTTTGTACTGCATATGGCACCTGATCTTTATGAAACTATCATATGTTAAACTTTGGGGTAAAATGAAAGAATATTAAGCAGGAGATATAACTCAGTGGTAAAGTGCTTGTTCTTTTTTTCCAGCACTGTGGAGAGATAATATTCAGAGTTATTTAAAAAGCATATTAAATTAGTTCTCTTTCCAGCTTTATATCCTTGTGAGGTCACATATTCTTCATACTCTTAATCTAGATTGACCATAAAAGCTAATATGAGAATATAATTATCTCCTAGTATGCTAGACATCAAAAATATTTGTAAAAATGAAAAACAATACCTTTCTTCTCACTATTTTGGAAAATGCACTATTTATCATGAAAATTACATTACTACACTGGAGTCAGAAATCAGCACTTCTCTACCATTAAAGTAAAGATTGGTAGAGGCAGAAATTCACTGAAGGCTAAACTCAAAGGGAAATTCTGATGAGAAGAGTATCCTTGCAAAGTTTAAAAATGTCTCCTCACATACTATAGTTATAGAGGAAAGGAGTAATTATTTAGTGGAGAAACCAACACCTTGAATCAGTACTGAAAGTTAGTATCACTTTTAAGAAGCAGTTAGACAAAAATGTACCTCCAAAAGTGGTAGCATTTCTCTTGCAGAGAAAGCATAGCTTAAATTAAATCATGAAAAAACATTTGGCAAATCCAATATGAGAAAAATTCTCTTAAAAAATAGTACATAAGATCCTAATGAGATAACTGACAGTGTGAAATGGAAAGAAAAGGGCTAAAGGTGTAGGGAAAGTGGGAAGGGTAGAGGAAAGCTAGTAAGGGAAAAGAAAAAAAAATGAGAAAATGAAAAAAATGGAAATAAAGTGTTTGTAAATGGGGAGGAGAGGAGGGGGTGAAGGGAGGGCAGGGACAAGGGGAAAAAATGAGAACCAAGACCTGTCATGTAAAAGTACAAGATCCCAATAATGAATGCAACTGTACTATATACCTTAAATGTATAAATAAACTCAGTAAAATTAAAAAAAAAAATAGACCTGATGAAATTCTTCAAAAACATCAAGGTTATAAAAGACAGGTTGTGGAAATGTTCAAGATTAAAACAAGTTAAAGAGAAATGATAACTAAATGTCATACCTGATCCTAGCCTGAATGCTGCTTGAGAGGGCATTGTGGTGTTAAATTGGAAAACATGGGAATATTGGCAGTAAACTTCTCTATCAATGTTAAATATGCTGAATTTGATACATGGACTATGAGAGTAAGACAATGCTCCAATTCCTAAGTAATACACACTGAGGTTTTAGGGATAAAGGGCCTTGAAATTGGTAAGTTACCTTCAAATGTTATAGAAAAAATTATATTTATATTCATATATGTATATATTTGTGTATACATATATGTAAAATTAAATATGTACACACATTCAGAAACATTTGTGGAGGTTGTACAAAAATGTTTTTTTTGGTTTGATGTGTTTTAATTTTTGTTCATAGATAAGTGAAAGAACATCTTGATTCTATGGACATAGCAAAGTCAAATCTTAATTACCCTTATAAATCAATAATAGACAAAGTTAATACCATATGTTTGGGCTTGTGTTATTGTGGGCTTTTTCTTTTTTTATCATTGGATTTATTGGTACTATTTAGATATACATAATGATAACATTCATTATATGGAATTTGTACCTGTAGATAACGTGCTTGATTCATATTTTTCCTCATTCCCCTCTGCTCCCTTCAACCCTTATTCCCCTTCTTATTTATAAGGGCTTTGTTTTTAATGTTCTTTTTCTTTTTCTTTTCTCTTCCTTTTCTTCTTACTCCTCCCTTGTTCCCCTTCTCATTTGAACATTTTCTTCCTACTTCCCAATATCTGTTATACATTTTAGTCCTTATTTCCACTTTTGATTTCTTGTACCAGAGAAACAGTACAATATTTACACATGTGTGTCCAATTTATTGCACTTAAGAGTACGGCTTCAGGGTGTACCCTTTTACGTATAAATATCTCAAGGTTGTCCTTCTTTATGACAGAGCAGTACTCCATTGTATAAAAAACCAACATCTTTATCCATTCATCAGTTGATGGGCATTTGGGCTGTTTCTAAGATTGAGCCGTTATAAACTTTTGTGCTGTAAATATAGGTATGCCATAATATCACTATGGTATGAAGCTTTAATTCTTTTGGGAAGGTATCAAGAAGGAGAATAGCTGGGTCAAATGGAACCTCTAGTCCTAGGTTTTAGAGGAATCTCCACACTGATTTCCCCAGTGGTTGCATCAGTCTACACTCCCACCAACAGTGGGAAAGCGTTTCTTTTTCCCCACAATCTTACATTAGGAAGCACATCATACACATATGAAGTTCAAACAGGTAAGTGGAGAGTGGTTGTTGGGATAGTCCCTGAATGGGAAACACTTCTCCCCCAGGGTAAACTATAATTATCTTATTTAGCCCTGGGTCCATCAACATTCCAATTTCCAGATATTCATTCTTTGATCTTCATGGATAAGTGTCTGTTGGGTTATTGAAATACCTGTAACAGTATTTACTTATAGTAAAGAGAGAAAAGTATAGTGTAATGAATGCCATTTCCACCATTTCCTCTAGCTCAAGTACAAATCCAGCCCTTCACTCTAGTAAGCATGAAGCCAATAAGAAAAAAATAAATAAAATTAGATCATTAAACTATGTGGTCTTCACCTGAATCCACCTCGAAATGACCATTGTTTAAAAAAAGAGGTTAAGTAAGAACATAAGCTATATGTTATTTTGATATGCTGTTTATTGTCTTTTATTGTTTTATGCTTTATGGTAATTTTTATTTTAACAGATCATCAGAAACTGGAAAGGGAAGCTAGAATCTGCCGTCTTTTGAAACATCCCAATATTGGTGAGGAAGTTTTCATTGCATTTTAAATGTCAATTTAATGTTACATACTATATTTAACCGCAATTAAAATGTTAATTTTAATAAGAATATGTACAACTATTAACAAATATATTCTTTTTGGTCTTGCTTACATTTGATTCTTCACTTTTTTATAGGTTTGTGGTTTGTTTTTTGATGGATTCACTTTTATGCAATCTTTGAACCAGGAATGGAAAATAAAAACTACTGCCATAAATTAATCTTAATTTATGGAAATTAAAATATTATATTGAATCAATAGTGTTATATTTCCTCTTGTGCTGAGAGTTGACTGCATATCTTCCAATGGAAATTGAAAGATTAAATAAATTAAAATTAGGTAATCTGTAGTTATATTAGTTTGAACTTAACTATATATTTGGAGTCTGCTACATTTGCTAATTCAATGTTCCTCTATGGCCTCATGGATCAAATAAAGTTGCAAAAGTAAAAATGAAGCTAGTGTCAAAATTGATTGAAAATATATATAGGTATATTTTTCAAGAAGTAGCAACCCTACATATTCTAACATTTTTAAAAAACACATGGTCATCATTGAATAGTATTTTTATGTGTAATTAAGAGTTATTCATCTGGTGAAGTATGGAGAGACAGAACTTGTGACATTAATTTAGACAGCTAAATTACTTTGCATTAATCCTATAAAAAGTTTACCTTATGTTCATCAGTTCTATTCTAATAGTGAAATGATTTTAGAATTGGAATCCTTCATGAATTATAAAATAACAGGATAGTTTATGAAATTAAAAAAATTGAATATAAGATCAATAGAAGAAAGATGAACAATGAAAAGAAAAAATGTGTAAATTGAGTCTGTGGCAATGACTTATTCTTTAAAAAAAAATGGTTTTGTCCTCCTGTCTCCCTCAGTCTCACTGTCAACCAAAGTAATACTTTTCTTTTCTTTTTCTTTTTCTTTTTTTTTTTTTTTTTTTTTTTTTTTTTTTTTTTGTATCAGGGATTGAACTCAGGACCTTGTGCTTGCCAGGCAGTCACTGTGTTGCTGAGCTAAATCCCCAGACCAACCAAAATATTTCTGATCCAAAAGTAGTGAGAAAAAGGCAACACTGCTTTAGAATTTACAGAAACATTACCGCTGTTAGCTGTCTGAAAGGAATTTTCTGGTTTAGGGAGAGAACAAAACTGAAATGTAAATCTACCTCTCAACAAGTATTTTACCCAGACCTAAATCTGCCTCTTAATGAGAATTTTGCCCTGACCAAAGCCTGATATTTTTGAGTTGGCTGCAAAGTAGGCCCCTTTACCAAGTGTCTTGAAGGTGGTAGTCTTCTCCCTGTATATGATATGTCTGCCCTAATTTATTTTTTATGTAATAGAGACCCCAGTCGTGCTGCATTAGAGCTTGTACTAGTGACCTAATTTTAACTTAATTACCCCTTTAAATGCTGTGCTTCCAGTTACAGTCACATTCTGGGGATTGGACTTTGTGACACTTAAGTTGGATTGTCAACTTGATTGACTGTGAGCCACCTAGGGCATGAATAAAGCACACTCTGGGTATACCTGGGTGGGCCCTGGAGGCAGAGCCTTGGATGCTGCATCTGGTCCCTGGCCCCTTCCCCTTGGGTGCTGTTCACCTGCTCTGCTTCCCAGCTGCCATTACCTGAGCTCCTTTGTTTCACCATGCTCATGCCTCAATGCTTTTTTGCCTTGGAGTTAATCATACATGGTCTGAAACCTCTGAAATCTTGAGCCAAAATAAACCCTTCCCTCTTAAGTTGTGTATGTCTGGTATCTGGGCCCATGAAAGGGAGAAGTGATCAATACTGACTTCAATGTACAGAATTGGTGGGGGGGCAGGCAAAATTCAGTCCCCAGCATTGGCTGAAGAGAAATTACACAGTATGACCTGCTACACTTTGAAAAGTACATCTCTTGCTTGGGGTTAAGACAAAATGAGATCTTTGTTTAGTGAACTTGCATTTCCTGTGCAGAAGGGTTGTTTCTTGTTTGCTTTGTTTTTATCAAGATTCTTCTGTGAAACACAATTGTATAAAGAACTAGCTAGCTTCTTTCATTTCCCCTAGGAGTTTGAAGTCGGATATTCTGAACACTCTCAGCTAGACAAGAACTGTTTTCATTTTGAAACCACAGGAGGAGAAACCTTATCATAAAAAGGGAAAGACATATATGGGGAAAGTTTCAGTTTTGTGAGCTACACAGAATAGGAATACTCTGACACAGTGTGTATTTTCTGTAGGTGTCCATAATGGCCAAATGTAACTTTCTGGTTACCTCACTGAGATATTTTTCCATCTGTTCAGATTTCAGAAGTACAAAAGGAAGTAGAGAAGTACCAAGTCCTTTAAACCCAGTAGGACTCATTTCTACCCACTAGAGAGATTTTCAGTGATTCTGTATTTCAAGCTACATGTATTGTATATAAACGTGGACATAATCTCAAAAATAATATCATGGAAAATGCACCTATCTTATTCACTCAATCAGTAATTCACTGGGGTATAAAAGAAACAAGGTAGACCACATCCTTGCTCAGGGCCTGCACTGCTAAGACAGAGAGTAAACAAAATAGAAGGTATTAGATGGTAATAAATTGAGGGTGGTAAGGAATAGGGAACATTAAGGGATTCTAATTTTAAATCATTGACATTATTAAGAAGATGAAATATGAGTAAAAACCTAAAAGACGGGAGGAAGCAAGTCATTTGTCTCTCTGGTGGAGGGAAAACATACTGCAAGCAAAAGGAAGAAATAGCATATGGAACAGCCCTGAGACAGGGCCATGCCCAGCCAATTCAACTATAGTTTTGTTTTGTTTTTTTTCAACTATAGTCTTTGAAGTTATTGGAAAAGTGAGAATTACTTTTAATTTTATTCTAAATATTTTAATTGGTGAGTTGAATTGATGTATTTCCAAGTAATGACATTGTTTATATTTACTCATATAAAAACAATGATTTAAAAACAACCTCAGTAATGGTAATTGTCATAAAATAGTAAGCAACAACCAATAAATGATGCCATAAATGCCGCATGAGCACTGCAGTGCGAAGACAAGTAGTGTAGTGAGCAGAGCACTGTGTTCCTGTTGGGCTTGTTACGTTGGTTCACAGCAGTGTGTGGGTCACTAGCACTTACTGCTGAATCACACCACATAGTAAACACAACCTTTCATTCTGATTCCCTGAAATGAATAATGTGATAGCTATGAAATAGAAGACTCTTAACCTCTTTCCTTTTCCTCTATTTTATTATTTACTGTTACTGTATTACTTCCTCTATTTTAGTTTATTTTTTAAAGAGCAATCAAAGAAGCACATTTTATTCAGTATCCTTTATGTAATTCCTCTATTTTATTTTTAAAGATTTGTTAGAATATCTCAAGGAAAAAGATACTATTTTGGACAATTTTTTCCTTTGTGAAAATTTGCTTATTTCATGTTTATGTGCCAGTCTTTTGGCATATAATTAATAATCTTGAGAACTTATAGCAAGTAAATGGTTTCTGTCATGAAACACATTTTTAAACTAACAAAAGTAGTAATTAATGTACCTTTTTTCAATGCTATTTTAAATTTTTTTCTGATCTTAAAAGTGATATATGCTGTTAGTGGAAACTTTGGAAAATATACCATGAGGTATGGAGAAGAAACCAGAGGGCACAGTTTGTAACATTTATTTATTTATGTATTTACGTATTTATGTATTTATTTATTTATTTTTGGTACCGGGGATTGAACTCGGGTTCTTGTGCTTGCAAGGCAGGCCACCGAACCGCTGAGCTAAATCCCCGGCCCCTGTAACATTTATTTTACACATTTTTTATCTTTTTATAATAAATTTGATTGAGAGAGATGTTAATTTTCAGCATTTTCTTGTGTACATTTTCTTGTCCCTTATTATATATCATGAAAATGGTCTCACTTAACCAAATTTCTTGTGGGTGTAACAATTGCTGTGGAATTTGGGCTGTGCAGACTGACAGTCAAGATGTCATTGAGATATAATATCTCTCTTTCTAATGCTGCTATCCTCCTGTGTAAACCAATATCATAATGATTAATTCTATACATATAATTGAAGTAGGATAACTTAATACCAGACCAGGTGGCTACTGTCAAAAAGAATCAAAGCCAGATACTAGTTAAAAGTGCCAAAGATAGATTTTATTTAGAATTATTGCAATAGCAGATGAATAGAGTTTTATTCCAGATGTACTGAGGTCTTAGATACATCAGGGATCAGGGAGAGGAACTTGAACACTTAGCAGAGGTGAGCAGTGACTTACATACTGGATTTACTCTGACTCTTATAGGAAGATCTAAAGTCTAGGAAGCCCAAGGATGAGGCTGGGTAAAAAGGGGACATTGTCTAAAGTTTGTTCACTACAAAGTGGCTTTCAGGTAAGATGTAATTGTAGAGGTCACATTTAAACTAATATCTAAACAAGGGTAGACCCTATCATGAAAAACCCCAGGGACAAAGTGTTTCCAGCAGAGAGAGCTTCCTTGTTAGGAAATATGGGAGGCCAGTGGACAGTCTGTCATAGGGCGAGGAGAGTGACGGTGACTGAGCAGGCCAGACCGGTGTGCAATCACATGTGCTTTCACAACCGAGGACAGGTACTTTGGGCCTCCTATTAAATGCAATGAGAAACCAGTAGAAGGCTTTTAAGCAAGAGTGTGTCCTAATCTGATTGGTGGGGTCTGCTCTGTGTACAGGGTCAAGCATGATAGTGTTGAGTTGGTATGTCATAGCCTTGTGTGTATTATCTTAGTACTCCTCAGCCACATCCTCTTGGGTAAAAGTAGCTCTGGGATGGTTCCCTCCTGGGTGTAGTCTACACAGTTGATGAAGGGCTTGCTTCTTCAGCTATGTCCTTTGGCTCAACATATTTGAGAGGATAGGCCACTTCCCAAGCAGGTCTATATTTTCTGCTCTAGTCTATTGTTTGAACCCCAAGCTAGCAATAGTAGAGC